TAGCATCGATAAATCCTTCTAATATAGCCAGAAATTTAATATATTGTAGACCTAAGTTCCTAGTTTTCTTTAAATAGCCAAGAACTTTTCTAATGGCCTTTCAATGGTCATTGCTCGGATTATTAGTAAACCTACTAAGTTTACATATTGCAAAAGCTATGTTCGATTTTGTGCATTGAACTGCATACATAAGACTCTCTATAGCACTTACATACTCCACTGTAGCAACTTCTCTTCCATCATTCTTCATGGGTTCTAAACTTGGATCAAGAGAAATACTAAAATTTTTTTATGTTCAAATGTTTTAATTATTTATCACATTCTTGATATAATTTGATTGGCTTAAATGGTAACCCGCACTAGTTTTAGTAACTTTGATACCTGGAATGGTATCCATTGATCCTTTATCTTGAATGTGGAAGATAGAAATATCTTTGTTTTTTCTATTCTATTCATGTGATTACTCATAATCAACATATCATCAACATATAAGTAAATAATTGTAACATAATTATCATATAATTTGGAGTACAAACATTTATCTACAATATTATGCCTGAAACCAAATGAAACAAAAGCTAAGTCAAATTTTTTCATGCCATTTCTTAGGTATTTATTTTAATCCATATAATGATTTCACTAACTTGCATACCTTATGTTTGTTTCCTAGTAAAGCAAATCTTTGAGGTTATTCCATATAAACCTCCTCATTGATATCCCCATTCAAGAATGTCATCTTGATATCAATTTGATAAACATGCCAGTCATGTATAGAATCCAATGCGAATAATATCCTAATCAATGTTATTCTAACTACCGGTGCATAAGCATCAAAATAGTCTATTCCTTTCTTTTGTCGATAACCCTTGGCTACTAGTATAGCCTTAAAGGTATGGAGAGAATCATCAACATTATATATTTTCCTAAAACATCCAATAGGTTTGGATCCGAATGGTAAATCAATAAGTTTCCATGTATTATTTGACATAATTGAATCCATTTCATCTTTAATTGCATCTTTTCAAAAGATTCTATCATGAGAAGCCATAACCTCTTTATAAGATTTGGGATCAGTTTTCACTTGCAGATGCAAATGAGTAGTTCATACAACATTCTTCTTATTTCTCTCTACTAAGTAAAAGAAAATAAGTTGAGAATCAATTTCATTCGGTCCTAAAGATTTCTCAATTCGAATTCTTTTACTTCTCCAAGGTTCACTAGATCATGAACATCGTTAAAGAATTTTCATCTTGTGTTCAACTAGAGCTTGAGATCTCTTTAAGATTTCCCTTAATTCATTCTACATCACTGGATTCGATGATCACATTGGTATCCAAATTTAATAGTCTATATGATTTGCTATTACTAGCATATCCAATAAAAACATATTTAATCATCTTCATTACCTATCTTGGTCCTATTAGGGATTGTGTTCTTACAATAGGGAAGACATCCCCACACTTTGAAATATCCAATGTTAGGTTTTCTTTATTTCTACAATTCATAAGGAGAAACCTTTGTAAATTTAGAAGGAATCCTATTTAATATTCTACATGCGCTCAACAATGCTTCACCCCATAAATTGAATGGCAACTTAGTATAAGTTAACATTTCATTTATCATTTCAACTAAAGTTCAATTTTTTCTTTCATCTAAACCATTTTTTTCTGGTGTCCTAAGGGCAGAACATTGATGAACTATGTCTTGTTGTTCACAAAACAAGTTAAAATCATTAGTAAAATATTCATCTCTTCTTAAGTTTTTGTTTTCTTAGTTAAGTGATTTTCAACTTCATTCGTATAAGTTTTAAACATATCAAACACCTCACGTTTATATTTCATCAAATAAACACATGTATATCTAGAGTAATCATCTATAAAGATGAAGAAATACATATTTTCACCTCTAGTTAACATGCTATTTAATTCACATATATCCGTGTGAATTAATTCTAAAATACTAGAAGTCCTATTTACACTTTGATAAGACTTCTTGGTTATCTTAAATTCTAAGCATGTTTTACATTTAAATGCATCATTTTTATTATATGATATTAAGTCACATTTCAACATTTTTTCATGGTACTTTTACCTATATGACCTAATTTAGTATGCCATAAAGTAAATGAATCAATAACATAAGAAAAAATCAACTTTATTATTAATCATCTTGTCTGGTACACAATTTTACCATTCCTTCACAAGAATTGCCTTTTTCAACAATTTTTTCATTTGGGGATGATTCGAGTATATTGGACTCATAAACACATTTTATACCCGACTTTCTTAAGAGATTACCGCTTACTAAGTTCTTATTCATATCGAGAATATATAGCACATTATTCAAGGTAACGGTATTGTCCAAAGTGAAGATGGTCTCTGCATTTCCTTTTCCAACCACCTTGAAACGAATTTCATTAGCCATTTGAATCTCTTGATCTCCATCCACTTCATAATAAGTTTTGAACAAAGAAAGACTTGTCATATGATACATGTACGGTTACACATGTATCATACCACCATACATGAACTTTTCCTTAGATTGTGTTAATCTTACTTACAATGGCCACAATATTGTCTTCTTTGATGGAGCTCACATTTCTTTTGGAGTTGTTTCGTTCCTGGTGTCTTCATTCCTTTGCATAATGTTTAGATTTTTCACTTACAAAACAACCTCCTTTGGACTTCTTTTTTGACTTGTTAAAGTTCCTTTAAGGTTTTCTCTTGTTGGATTTATTAGAAGGCTTAGTAGCCTTGGAAATGCCTTCGTAAGAGTTGTCACTCTTATCTCTTACCCGTGGCTCTTGCTCAATGTGAAGATGTTTATGTAATTATTCTAAAGAATAATTTTCTTCTGATATCCTTTTTAAATTTTCGGAAGTTCTGCACTAATTGCTTCCACTTGAAAAAGTTTTCGGAATCTCAATTTTGGCCACTTTCAACTTGTTGAAAAGGAGTTGTAATTCATGTACTTAGGGAAGAAAGAGAATATTATCAAGAAATTTCAATCAAAATACCTTGAAATTAAAAATTTCATGGTACCTTCTTCTTCGACTTTGTATTTACTTTCCAAAGCATCTTATTTTTCTTTTGTTGAAGATGTGTTGGTGTAGAGATCATACAACATGTCGAATAAAGCATTGAGTATGTGACCGCGACAAATCAATTCATCATCTTAACGTTTTTGTTTTTTGGCTCTTATAGCATCAGTATCTCCATTTGTTGGATCTGGTAGTGGTGCTAATTCCGGATCAAAGATATAAAATATCTTCAATGCCATGAGAAGGAACTTCAACTTATCTTACCATCTAGTGAAATTCGTCCCATCAAAACGGTCCAAATGAATGAGGTCTTGATTCATTAACTTGATCATTGTCATAGTGGTTTCTTTAGCCATTGCAGAATATCATTTGACATTGTTGAAAATATTATTTACACAAAGGAGATGGAGAAGAAACAAAGAATAAATAACAAAATGATGAAAATGACTATTAAGGCTTAAACATGTAATCATTGACCTTAAACGATATTTGCCCCCTCTCAATTTGAATTTGATGCTTAAAGGAATTTTGACAAATGGTTTGAAGAATTTATCAAGCCTTGTAAAGGATTTAACACTTACGAACTTAGTGAAATTCTTCAAAACTTAAGAATGCAAAAACAGGATTAGAATATGAAGAGAAAATTGAATTTCAATACTTTTTTTGGAATGAAGAATTGATCTCAGGTCTGGCTACATGTTTCTATATATTTTCTATTGATCATCAACCGCCAATATATAGCCATCAATCAATGTTATACGAAGTGGTGCCAAAACACTTGAAAAGCCACACAACAGTCTCCCCATCCCTACTCCCCAAGTTAGTAAGCTTGAAAAGTTTACAAGAATAACTTTTAACATTGGTAAATGTTCCCAACAAGTTACTTTAACAGTAAAGTAAGATGTTTTAAAGAACCGTAACTTTCTTTACATAAAAGTAAAAAATAAGTTTTTCAAACATGATTAAAGATGACAAAAATTTACGCCAAACAGATCATTAATTTAGTTACTCTTGATGCATTGATGAACTAGTTAAGAGTGCTTGTCTTGCTTTGATTTTTCCCTTGCCATGGCTAAAATTTATTTTCTTGAGGACATACCTACTTTGGAAAGCTCGTGTCATCCGTGTTTATTTATTAAACATTGCATAGAAGATAGAACTTTGTGCTCAAGTATGGCTGGTTTTTAGTATTATACTCCGGGTGGCTGCATTTATTCGGATGATTGGTATTGTCCTAGTTGGATCTCATGTATACTCTTCGTTCCTTTTGCTGCCTTTGATTAGAGGCCTACTGACTTGATGCACATTTTCTGGCCCTACAAAATAGTTTCATTATGGGCCTATTTGATAAGCTCCATTTTTCATTGGAAATGAAATTCCACCTAAATGGTATGTTTGATAGTTAAAATTTTCCATGGAACTGGATTTCCACCCAATCCCCCACGCGGCCCCTTTTTTTTAGGTTTTTAAGGAATTGGTTTTCCTTTGGTTTTGTGGAAATTGGTTTTACAGCTTCTTCTTCTTCTCTTTTTCCCCCCTCGACAATTGAAACAAATCATATCCTTTTAATTGACAATTTTTATAAAAAACAAAGCCAAATGAACATCGAAAGAGAGAAAATTTCAACATTTTTCAAGTAGAAAATTATATCAATCAAACATATTTAATTGACAATTCACAAAAAAACAAGTTCAATTCCTTGGAATTCATTTTCTTTTCACTTAAATTCCATTCTTACAATAAAACGAGCCCTTAGTGTAAATTTCTGTGAAGGTCGAATCTTTTTACTTGTGTCTTTAATATCAGGATTCATTAGAACATGCACTTGAGGTTTTTCCTTGTACAAGACAAGGCTGTAGCGTCTGCTTCAACCTCTGGCTTGTGAGGATGCCCGTTAGTAATGACATTCAACAAGTAACATACCATTGCAACATAAAAAAAAAGACGACTGCACAATATGTAGATTGAATAAGAACAATGCAGTTCCTCCCTAATAAAAGTAAATTTTATCCCAGCATATAGCTCAATGTACACCTCTCGAGACATTATTATGCATGTTGTGATATAGAAAAATGCGTGAAATACAACACAGTGATCTCAAATGAAAAGAGAACCAACAAAAGCAAATCTTTGTTGGCAGAGGAGATTCGAGAAAACCTGCACTAGGTTCAGCCAAAATGTTCAAAAAACTCGTCCAAACACAAATAAAAATAATGTACGAGATGCCCTCTATTTCTATATGTGAATAGGCTTATCATAGGTGGCCATAGCAGCCTCCTTTAAGGCCTCACTCATTGTTGGATGTGCATGGCAGGTGCGAGCAATGTCCTCACTTGATGCTCCATATTGCAAAGCTAAAACAGCCTCATGAATGAGCTCCCCAGCATTAGGAGCCATGATATGGACACCCAAAATCTTGTCAGTCTCCTTTTCGGCAAGTATCTTAACCAATCCATCAGCATCATCGATCGCCTTGGCCCTGCTATTTGCCAAGAAAGGGAACTTCCCAACACGATAATCAATTCCAAGTGCTTTAACCTGCTCTTCAGTTTTCCCTACAGAGGCCACCTCAGGGTGGGTGTAAACAACTCCAGGAACCATATCATAGTCCACGTGACCTACCTTCCCTGCAATATACTCCACACATGCAACACCATCTTCTTCAGCTTTGTGAGCCAACATTGGTCCAGGAATAACATCACCAATGGCATATACCCCTGATATATTTGTGGCAAACCGTTCATTCACCAAGATCCGGCCAGCCTTATCAATTTCAACTCCTATCTTCTCCAATCCAAGACCAGCTGTAAATGGAACTCTGCCAGCAGAAACAAGAACAACATCAGCTTCAAGAATAGTCTGATCGCCACCAGCTGCTGGTTCAAGGGTCAACTTTACACAACTCGCTGTCGTGTCAACAGACACCACCTTCGTTTTAAGCATGAATTTCATCTTCTGCTTTTCAAGGAAACGTTGAAATTGCTTTCGAATTTCACCATCCATAGTTGGGACAATATCTGGTGCAAATTCAACAACAGTAACCTCGGAACCTATACGTCCCCAGACAGAGCCCATTTCAAGACCAATATAACCAGCACCAATAACCACAAGTTTCTTAGGAATCTCTTTTAAAGATAAAGCCCCAGTAGATGATACAATTCTCTCTTCATCAATGGTAATCCCTGGTAGACTTTTGACATCAGAACCAGTGGCAATTATTATATTCTTACCTTTAACAACAGTATTACCACCTTCAAGGGTGTCGACCGAAACTTCAGAAGGAGACAGGAATTTGCCATAGCCCTTGACATAGTTTACTTTATTCTTCTTGAATAGACCCTCAATACCTTTGGTTAAGTTACCCACAGCATTATCTTTTTGGGCCAACATAGCAGGTAGATCAACCTCAATGGAATCGAACTTTACACCATGACTCGCAAATGAATGCTTGGCTTCATGATACATATGGGAGGAATGAAGAAGTGCCTGCGCATGACACATGGAAACGCGGACAATAAGTATACCAAAAAGCTCACATTAAGGCCCGGCTCAAAGTAAGGAATGCAAAAAAAGCCTCAAAGCATTTGGAGGCGTACGCCTCCAAACATAAAAATTATTATAGATCAATTTTGAGAATAGCCCACTGCCCACTAAAACATTTAAAAAGTGTATCTCTCATAAACCCAATTTGGAAATGGTCCATTTCCCCAATGAACAAGAATAATAATATCTTTATAGAATTTATTATTATTATTATTATTATTATTATTATTATTATTATTATTATTATTATTATTATTATTATTATTTTTTATTTTTTATTTTTTTTGCACACTTTAACTGTTACAAATTTTGAATATTGCTTATGATGCATTATAACTTATTTTGCATTTTAATAATTTGTTGACATTTTTTTGGTTTACTATGGGGCTTATGCCTCACCTCATGAAAGAAAAACACCTCGACACTTGAATATGCCTTTTAACATTGTATAACACTATAATCTTGCTTAGAAGATTATGAGGTGCAAATTAGAGAAGACAGATGAAAAAAAATGGATTATCATTTAGAACAAGTGCTCCAAAAAGAATCAGCAACACGCTACACACAGCGCGGACAATAATCAGTTCTAGAAAAGAATGGTTTAAGTGTCACCAAAATAGTAGAGGAAAGTCCCTCAGTTAGGGCAGTGTCAGGGAACGGTTAGGATGACCTAGTTTTATTGTCAAGAGAAGGACCTTATTACTACGAAGCTCAATAATAAAGCGTATGATTATGCTGTCTGCAATTGTTAAGAATGACCATAGTTAATTGTCGCTAATGTGGACAAGTTCAACACTAAATGACGTAAATTTTGAATTAGAATCCTAAAGAATATTATTTCCTAACTAAACTAAAATATTATTTCCTAACTATACAAAATAAACTTTCCATTTTAACTCTTTGATTAATTACCCTGTTCTACACTCTTAATGTATATCAGATCAGAACAAATATTAGAACTGCATAAGATGACGAGGCACATAATTTCATGGGACAATGGAATCAGTAGACTTCCCCTGAGCCTTCTTCATCAAAACATCCAATGCATCCCAAAAGCTAAACGGTAAATAATTATTTTTAATCTTCAACATCTCAGAATTCCCATGAAATTGGGGTTATTTTATGGATGATTTTATCCAAACAATATTTAGCCCTTGTTTGAGCCCCATTTGGAGGAAAAAATGGATTTTTGAACAGTATATTGATGGAAAATATGTGGCTAAAAACTAAGGAGAAGTTTTGGATTTATATATAATATTATTTTATTGAAAAATGTGTGGTTCAAATAATGTCAAAACACTGTTTAAAAATGAATTTCTTTCAAAGAATGGAGCTCAAACAAGGGCTAAGTGTATTCTAATAATACCATTATTAGTTTGGATTGATTAACACGTATATTTATACAATAATTGAACTGGTTAAGGAAATTCTTCAATTGCATACAATACAATGTATGAAGTCTTTTATGTGTACAACATGTTGTCTTCCTTTAGTTTATACAATGTACAATAAAACCTCAATAAAATAATAATGATGGGGTCAAAAAAAATTATTGTCTTAGAGGGGTTATTAATTTATCGATAAATGAATAATTAAGTAGTTTATAGAGTATTTTATATTTTTATAACTTGTATTATATTTTACCATAATATATATAGGAATTTAAAAAAAAACATTGAATGTGGTGAAATTCAAATTTTAATTTATAAGCACACAAAAAGGTCCACACATACATACATTAAAGAGGAAACATTAATGTACATACATTGGTTTCGAAGTTTAATATCTTGGAAGATTAATCGTTCAAGTTATTTCATGTACACATGGAACATAATTTCTATCTTAAAATTAAAAGTTTGTTAAATTAAAAGAGACGAATTGAAAAAATTATTGTCAAATTAAAAGTTCGTTAATTTGTATAAATATGAACTTTTATAAATTTCAGTAATTCTTTTGTATATTCGTTGGGCCTTAAAGGATTTATGAAAAGCAATTAATATCTTATGCATTTAGAAAGGTTTTACCGTAGTCTTTATTATGTACAACGTATGAAGTCTTCCATTAATGTTGGAATTATGCACAAGCCTATAAATAACATTGGAAAAAGCTATTTACAAGATAAGTGAAAGAAAACTAAAATCCCTCAACTATTGAAGAATAGGTCTTCATAATTCAATAGGAAAATTTGAAGTGGAAAAGAAAAGTTCCCATATATTTAATAGAAGAATCAGAATTGGAATGATTACTATGCAGATTTGGAATGAAATGTCTTGAAAAATTATTATTTGTTGGAATTATTTTCTATTCCTCCCCTAATCTTAGTAGCCAAGAGATGCAAACTTTTTATACTATTTTCTTATTTGATGTGATGCACGCGTGTAAATTGGTAAAAAGTTACTATGGTTGGTTAATTTGTTCGGCTAGATCTAAAACTGTCATACTACAGAAAATTTAACCTAAAAAAAGTGACAGTTCAGTACAGTACCTTAGAAGGGATGCAGCCAACGTTGAGACAGGTACCGCCAAGGGCTCCTCGCTTCTCGATACAGGTGGTCTTGAGCCCCAGCTGGGCGGCCTTGATGGCAGCCACGTAGCCTCCGGGGCCACCTCCAATAACTACGACGTCGTTCTCCTCAGATCCCGACGCAAAGCCTCTCTTAAAAATCCACGAGTACTTTGAAGCAGAAGTGTAGTTGCCGTTGTTATAGAGATGCCTCGACGAAGGGAAGAATGTTACGGCCTTTCGTCTGGCAATTGTAGCCATAGCCATTTCTCAATGCAAAAAATCCAAATCTCCTCTTTTCGATTGTTAGGTTTCCTTAAGAAGATGAAGGATGGAGAGGGCGATCTATAATTATTTATTATTTTAAAAAGCAAAATGAAGAAAAGGAGAGTATGTTCCGATGTGAACAGGTCTAAAGTTTTAGAATGAGACTTAATCACAGTCGCAGCCGTTTTTACGACTCTGGCTTTCTGGATGCAGTCAATCAGGACCGTTTAGGTGAGAAATTTGTGAGCTTATATTAATTAATGATTCCTGAAAACAATATATCACAGCCAATATGCTAAATGCGTAATGCGTGACGATACGTAAAGGTCAAGTTATGAACTATATGAACTTAGGTCAGGTTTAAGCGTAAAATGACTTTTTTTTTTAATTTTAATATTATTTTAGTTGTTAATAAATCAAAAATAATTAAAGATAATACTTACTAAATATTTAAAACAAATTTATAGGAACGTTGTACATTTTTTCAAAATTTTCAACAAAAAGATAAGTTTCAAATTTAAATACAAAATAATAAATAAATAATTTAAGAACCTAAATCTTATCTAATTCTTTATTGGATTCCAATATAATAATCTCTTCTTCATCTAATTCGTCCTTCATTTCTTTCGATAAAGAATTAGATAAGATTTAACGGTCAATGGCAACCGTTGACCACTAAATAAAACGCCAAGCTATTTAGCTTGGCATTTTGGCCGAGCATTATGCCTAGGCGTGTTTTGGCGCTACCTTTTAGAACATTGATCACAGCGATGAGCGAAAGTAGGAACATGATTTTAGTGTTCTTTTGCTCATACAGAAATGAAGCGCTGCTTATTTTGGAGGTTCATGCCTAATTAATACATAATATTATATACATTTTAATCAGCCCCGAATCCAGTAATTTTTTGCACATGGGCTAAATAGTGGACATAATATCGAATATACGTGACCTCCATACAAGTTAGTTTGACAATCAATTCCGCATTTGAATGAAAATGTACTGCACGTCTATGTCTACACCTTTGAAAATATACTACACCTTTGAAATTCAAAAATGATTAAATGGAGATTTTGATTAAATGTTTCAATGCAATTTTGACTCCGCATATAGACCTAGCTAGGTAAGGAGGATGTCTACACAATGGAAATATGTATTGTACCAACAAATCATGCCAATCAGCATTTAAAAATTAGTTTGAGATTACATTCAAAAAGAACAAATATATGAGCTAAAGGATCGAGGGAAGTTGCATGAGTGTTTATGAACCGCAAATAAATTAAAAAATTAAATTTTAATTTGAACCGAATAATTTTAGTTGCTAAGGTTTACCAAAAAATAGTAATTTCAACTTTGAGGCGAAAATGAAAGATTTTTAAATTTATTTTATCATGTCCTAATTTTATGATTTTTGCTTATAATAATATAGTTTTCCGTTCAATCGGTCCGATTTTTGGTCATTTATGTCAATTTTCGTAAAACTCTTCCTTGGACTGTGTATAGTGAGATGTGATTTCAAGAAAGCTACACAATAATTTAGATGGCCATGCATTGATTATTCGACTATAACAAAATGTTAAAGACCAATTTATCTCCTTTTGAAAAGTAGGAGACCGGCAATGCAATTTTCCCTATTATAAGAGAGAGAGAGAGAGAGAGATTTAAAACAATAAAAGAAGCGTTGACAACCATGTACAGCCGCTTACTGGTCAAGGGGAAAGAGACAGAGCACATAGCCAAAACTTGTAAATTCTCGTCATTTTTGAATGGCAATAACCGAACTATTCTAGTCTAAGCCCATGCGTTTTGTCAATCTTTGCCCTTCATACCCCGCATATAATTATCATATATTCCTCTCAAACGATCAGTTGCTGCTTTAATAAAATACTAGGGGTTTTGAAGCATCTGCGACAGTTGCAGATTTATCCACAAGAAATAAGGTCACAACGTTTCTTGCCCAGAATTTCAGATCAATCTTAGTTCTTTCTTTTTTTTTTCTTATATTTATTTGTTTTTAGGCCAACAATCTAACTACCGTTTTGAAATTTCTGGATTCTTTTTCTGTTTGCTTTGTCAATTTCGTCATTTTTTGTTCTGGTTTTCTCGTTTGTGTCCTCCTAGGATAATTCGGTGCGAAAGACTGAAGCTTTTCTTCCTTGATATATGGATTTTTTGTTGTTAAAAATTTGGTTTCTTGATTTCTGCTTGTCTTCTGGGAATTGCTCTCTCTCTTTTTATTATTATTATTTTTTTTATTTTTTTATGTGACTTCTTTGTGTTTGTGGGATTATCTACTTTTCTTATATTAATCTTATTGTGCTGTACTAATTCATGGATTCTGTTGGATCAAGTAGATTCTGATTTAGACTGGTTATGGTAATAACATTCTGTTATTTTATTGTTCTGATGGTTGTCTGCTTCATGAAGTTCCTCCTAAAATTGATTTATTTGCTATAAATGGGGAAAAAAAAAAAAGTGCTAATTTCGTACTAGAGTCTAGAGTCAGCACAACTTGACAATTTGTCCGTTGCAATTTTAACATATATTTGGAACACAGCTTGTTACCTTTTTGGCTTGAGTCCAATCGCTGCTATTGTGTTATTTCTTGAAGCTCTTTATGCTTACATATCATACTGAGGATCAACACTAAGCGCATACTCGACAATGAAAGACTATTTAAGCAATTGGCAAAACTTGGCGCTTCTTAATTCTTTACATATTCGCTTCCCCTTTGCCACATAACCTACTTGGCTCTCCCTCACATTAATATATTGTTGCTGCTGAAATTTCATGGAGGCAACTGTATTTCTCATTGGCTTCTCATGGCTTTTTCTCCAGTTCTTTTGTGGATAATAAAAACCATGGGCTGCTTTGGTTGTTGTAAGGACGATTACATGCAAAAGGCTGCTGATAATGGACCTTACATGACAAGTCACTCATCTGGTGAGGTTTATACTGGTCTAGTATTTAGTTGTTACAAATTACCAATTTCCATTCTTAAATGGTATAAAAAAATTTCATTAGACTCTATTGGGCTACTTTTGTTCAGTTTACTTGTGGACGCTTTATTATAAACAGTTGTTTCCTGTAAGTTTAGGTTAAAAGGGGCTGAATAAGACTAGCAAATTTTCAACCTTTTGGTTTATCCCCTAATGCTTCATTGAACATGTAAGCTTCAGAAAGAAGAGAAGAAGAAAATACCATCATTTCTGCTATTTCACAGTTTTCTTTTAAATTGGTCATAAAAAGTCACCTACATTTCATATTTTCTTTTAATTACCATCATTGTGCTCCTTTTTATGGCTTGCCGCCTTCATCATTCATAATGAAGGTTCCTTTTTTTTTTTAAAAGAAAGGAAGAAAAGATCTCTACAGGCTCCTGATTTTATTGTAATGAAACTTAACCAAGATTGTTCTGTAGGCAATCCTGCGGGTTATCATGCCACAGAAACAGCACAAAAGGACAAACAGACTATTACTGTCCTGCCGATTGCTGTCCCTACCATTCCAGTTGATGAATTAAGGGACATCACCGATAATTTTGGTTCAAAGTATTTGATTGGTGAGGGATCATATGGAAGGGTATACTATGGAGTCTTGAGAAGTGGACTTGCTGCAGCAATTAAAAAATTAGATTCCAGCAAGCAGCCAGACCAAGAATTTTTAGCACAGGTTAGGCTAATCAAAGTGTAGCATATATAGCACCATGTCTCATATCTTTCCATCGTAAGACTTTGTTATTTAATGCATGGTCTTGCAGGTTTCTATGGTTTCACGACTAAAGAATGAAAATGCGGTTGAGCTACTTGGTTACTGTGTGGATGGTGGTCTTCGTGTCCTGGCTTATGAGTATGCTGCAAATGGATCTCTACACGACATTCTTCATGGTCAGTCACTTCAGATTATTTTGGTGATATCACTTCTTGCCATTGCCACAAATGAAAGAATCTTTGATATAATCTATACTACATAACACCTTTGTAGTGATGATGAATAATTTGTTGATGTTTTGAAGTTTTTTTTTCCTGTGTGCATGTGCATCATGTTATCTGATTCTTAAATTATAGCCCAAAATGGATATTGCCACAATTTGTATTAACAACTTTACTTTCATCAAGTCGGCTTTGCACATAGAAGGTTTTTATTTTAGTGTATCAAGCATTGAGCTCTTGCGATATTCATTTCTGAGTGCAGGTACTTTTTATCTTCTTTGTCATACAAATAATTTTTGATTTCTTAATGAAGGACGAAAAGGTGTCAAAGGTGCACAACCAGGTCCTGTGCTGACGTGGCCCCAAAGAGTTAAGATTGCTGTGGGTGCTGCAAAAGGACTAGAATACTTGCATGAAAAGGCAACTCCTCACATCATCCATCGTGACATTAAGTCCAGCAATGTTTTACTGTTTGATGATGATGTTGCCAAGATTGCCGACTTTGATTTGTCAAATCAAGCCCCTGATGCTGCAGCTCGTCTTCATTCTACCCGTGTTCTTGGAACTTTTGGTTATCATGCCCCTGAGTATGTTGTTTTTGAATTTCCTATAGCAATGTAGAAGACTTAAAATTAGATTTTAACGATAATGACTTATTTACTTAAATGTCCGTTAAACATTTCAACTCTCAAATTATTTCTTCCGACGAGCCTAAAATGTTTGATTCTGGTTGGTAGGTATGCAATGACTGGCCAGTTAAGTTCAAAGAGTGATGTTTACAGCTTCGGTGTGGTACTTCTGGAACTCTTGACTGGCCGTAAACCTGTTGATCATACATTGCCCAGGGGACAGCAGAGTCTTGTGACATGGGTATGCCATTCTTTGTTTTGGCTGGCAATCATTTATTTAGCAACGATGTATGAAGAATGTTCACTATTGTATTGTTTCCTACAATGATTGATTTAAATAAAAAATGGAATCAGGCAACACCAAAGCTCAGTGAAGATAAGGTGAAGCAGTGTGTTGATGCTAGACTAAATGGAGAGTACCCTCCTAAGGCAGTTGCAAAGGTAACTTCATTCTGATTCTAAATTATCCATGTTGAAATCAAGTATAGGAAAAGTGAGATTTCACACTTATCAGGAATGCTAAAGAATCAAGTAATCTGAAATTAAAATACAGAATGATTCAGATATCTCACAATCCTAATATGTAACGACCCAGGCCTTCGTACCCAAGCCCTTAACTTACACATTGGGAGAGCATGTGTCAATCTTATCCCTCACGAATTTATCTCATGCCCACTAGAAATCAAATCCTTTGCCTTTGTCTTATGAGAGACTTAAGCCTGTTACCGATTGGGCACATGGGCTGAGGTCCTTCTAAAGCGGACGATATGTAATGAGTTAATGGCTTGGGCACAAAGATTGGGTCATTACATAGCATAATTGAACTTCCATACTTCCCCTTAGCTTAACACACAAATGTAACTTCAACACCACCCCCAAAGCTGGTTTCAAGATATCAACTATTGTAGCTTGTTTATCAACTACTCAAATACTAACTTACGCAGACTGTTATTAAGAATATCGACTAGTTGTGCAGTTGCTTCACTTTTTGGATGAATGCCATAGAAAATTAGCCCAATCCAGCTCAATATGTTCAGTGTTGTGTTATAATTGATTATGAGTAATATTGATGGACAATATCACAGGATTATCAAAACTCACCTTTAGCTCTTCAAGGAGCTTCTTCGACCATAATAGTTTGCATGTGTCTTGGGCAATGACTGTAAAATCTGTCTTAGCACTACAAACAACGACCGACTTTATCTTTCTTTGGTGAGTCATTAGTATCTCCGATAAATGTTTATAGACCAGAACTTGACCTTGCATTGTCGATGACTGACCACATTTCCTGTACAGCAACCCCTTTCTATATGGTAAGTTCACATCGAGCTCTTGTAAGCTAGTGCATTTTGAACAGCTAAATAATGAAGTAACAATACTAGAGGAGAGTAATGTGATTATATTTATCTTTACTACAATAAAAATGATCTTGTAATCATTACTGTCATGAGCCTTGCTTTACACCTTTCAGTTGTTTCTCAGACTAGTACTTTAAAGTGATTATTGACTCAAAGCTTCCCTTTCTGTAAAAGTACAAGTTTCCACTCATTCTTCACCACTCTCTCATCTCCTCTAGGAATGCATTTTCAAGTTGTGAAACTTTAAACGTATAACATGTTAAGGAATCTCTGCACAAGAAGGTTAGAGGTAAAACCTCTAAAAGAGGTTCACAGTCGGCGGTAGAAGATATTTTTAGAAATAGAGTGTTCTGTACACGATCTAGTTCCTTTCAGAAGGTTAATTGGGAGGTAGGGATCATTTCTAAACTCCAAAATTGATGCTCTAATTGTATGGAGACTAGAATCATGGTTACCTGTTACCCAGTATTTTGTTTGAGAATCAACAGTAGTCTATGTTATGACTCTACAATATTTGGCTGCGCTTTAGAGTAGACGAAGATTTAGCTTTTGAGTTTGCACTTCTATCATATGTTTCCCACTTTAGTCGATGACATCCTAGTGTATTTTGAAACGTGAACAGTAATATCTTCTGGAACACAAATAGAAGCACTTGTAAAGAAAAGGAATCACCAGGAGCACAATATAAAGAATGACTAAGAGTACTTGGTAAGACACTTGGGTGCAAAAAGATGGAACAGGCAAAGGATTTGATCCCCTAGACTGATCTTGTATGAAATTCTCTTTTCATAGCGGAGTGTGGTAAATAGTAATTTATTTTCAAACAATGTCCATCATCATGAAAAACCTTCTAGATATCGGATCATAGCATTTGTATTCTTTCTATAGGTAACCCCTAAAAAAACACTTGATATCTCTAGGGTCTTCCTCCTGTCATGATTCTTGAGCAAAGACAATGAAATTTATGCAGCCAAAAACTTTTGGAGGAGGAGATATAAAGATCTTGGTTTGCAAATATCATTCGACATTCATTGAAGATATCCATGAGAATCTTTAAATAAATCCCCCACATAATCCTATCTAGCAGTGAGAACAATTTCTCAAAAACATTGTGGAACCCTAGCTGTGGACATAAGATATTGAGCCGTGTTGAGTAAATGCCTATTTTTCTCATTAGCAATATTGTTCTGTTGAGGCGTATCTACAGTATCCATACAAGATCTGTTCTAAGGATATGAATTCATGCCTGAAATTAGGCTTGAATTGTGACAAAGGATATGATCACAAATGAAAATTATGAAGTATGAACCAATGGTATCCAAAACTGACTAAAAATGAGTGTTCTCGAGGAAAATGGAGCGAATTCCTAAAGGAAAATATCTTGAAGGTACTTTGATCATTTACAAATATAACATTAGAAAGAGGATTCGACTTCTTAATAACAATGGAAACATATCTTTAGATATGGAAACTAGGATGTTTTAATGTACAACAGCAGCTACTAGAGCTCGTTTGTACTTTCTTAGCACTCTCAATCGTCCTACCTGAAAATAAGTTGAAACTCTCAATGAGAAGGAAAACTTAGCCACACCATACCCATTATTTGTTTTGGTGAATTTACTAATGGAAAAGAGATCGCTGGATATATATGGAAATGAAGATGTTAATTTAGAGTCAATTTTTTTGATATACAAATAGAACCTTTCCCTGCTACCAAAGGTCTGGAACCATCAGTAATATATGCTTTTTGGCTACTGTATCATGGGTTATAGGAAGAAATTAGATTTGGAAGACAGTCTTGTGAGACGTGGCTCTCTAATCCATGATCAAGGAAGGTCATTTTTGGAGGATACACTCAAGGCTGTCAAGAAGTTTCCTTTTTGGGCTAAAAGAATCAGAGAATGTAGGTTTTTGGGTGTATACTAGTTTATAAATTTAGCCCTAGCTGTTCCTTCGTGAAGGTTTGAGAATCACCAACATTAGATTTTCCTCAAACAGCCTTGTATACCGGTCTTTCTTTCAAAATCACATTATTTTCAGATTTGCATGCTTCCCTTTTTGTTTCCAACACTTTTATGTGGTGTGTCGATGCTTCTTACAATAGTCACTTAAAATTTTTTCCTCAATTTTTTTTTCTTATTCGAGTAAATAAGACAATTTGAGCTAGGAGATTTTACACTTATCAAGAATCCTAGAGATAATAATTGGAAACCAAAATAAGGAGAATTCAAATTAAAGCTAGTTATCTCACTCTCCTATAGAACTGAACTTCATAATTCCCTTATCCTTGTGTCAACAAAACATGCGACTTTTCACGCTTTTATTGAACTGAATGATTGTAAAGTAGTTTCACAACTTGGTTTCTATGTAAATTTTTTGCCAATTACATTTATCCAAGCTTGTAATGACTATCTAGTAGATGAGGACTTGGTAATTTGTTTATCTATTTATTTTATCATGATGCATTGGTTAATGTTCAGTCCATGATATGACAGATGGCTGCAGTTGCTGCCTTGTGTGTGCAATATGAAGCTGATTTCCGTCCTAACATGAGCATAGTAGTAAAAGCACTCCAGCCTCTGTTAAATACTCGGTCTGGGCCTCCTAATTAAACATCAAGCTTGTGATTTTTATTTTTTTATTTTATTTTTTGGATCTGTATTTCTCAAGATTTCATTCAAATTTAGATTTACGTTATATAGTTTGTTAAAGATCCTTGCCTCCAGACTGTACCCATCTCTGTTAAGAGACTTGTGAAACATACTTTCAGTGCAATGCATAAAATCATTCTGCGTGTACCCACGAACTTGGCAAGGCAGTGCCTATCTTCTGGATTTATTGCGGTTTTTCTTATAAAAAACTTGTGTTCAATATTTTAAGAAGATTGTTAGAACTTGTGTAAGAATTCCTTAATTGCCTGTAGGGAGAGGACCAGGATGTTAATTGAGACTTGATAGAGATTTCTTTCAAATGATCCATAGAAATCTGCTAAGTATGTTAAAGAAGTCTTTGGTTGGGAGGAGGCTAGCAAGTGATGCATTTAAATACCACCATAAAATTAAAATTGATGACATTAGAAAAAATGTTGTGCGGTAACTGTTATCTTGGTTTACATCAGTCCACAACATCGTCTTTATTAACCATGCAATTTTGACAACTCATAAGCTAGCTATTATCTTTACGTGATAACTTTTCCGTATGTACTCTTCCCCGTTGGCATTATCATTTGTATTGTAAAAAATGTTTATATAAAGTGATTATGAGACGCTAAAGCTAAAATTGAGTAGACTCCACTAGTTTAAATTCGAGTAAAGAGGATGCATTTTTCCTTTTGTGCAGATGATTGGTTGGTTGAACGAGAAGTTGGGCTTTAAGTGAATGTATAAATCACTGAAAATTTTCAATATTCTATATATTAGACATTTTAAATAGACATTTCGGTAGCATGATTCTGTAGTGCATAAAAAGCGTGAGCAGTGGTACAGGTTACAACCAAATGGATAAATGCGTCCAATAGAATATACTTCCAGTGAAGGGATGTCCCATTTCAATAATCATATGAACTTTGCAATCTCAAAATGGTAGAATATGTTATTGACCATATGTAACGCTTCCAATGGGGCCACGTGGTACGCTTGGCTTTCAATCAAGAATAAAGGAAGGGATATTGGTCGTGGCCCTACTGCTGAAGTGCTCTCATCGGTTAACCGAAGTGTTTTTCTCCCTTTTGCCGAACTCCTCCACATCTGATGTTTGTGATTTTCAAAAATAGGTCTGATAAGTGTATCCTTAGGAATGATTGATGTGACATCCTCATTAAGTAGATGTCGGAATGTCAACCTCTAAATATAGGGTAGTTGATCCCTTGTCAAATGTCTGTCAATATAATTTATGTGAGATAGGATGATGTGAGACTCATAATGTGAGATAGGATGATGTGAGACTCAAGTTTAGTAGATAAGGCCACGTTGATATGATCCAACGATGACCACGTTAGCTTGCTCACTATAAATAATAGTATTTGTAACATTTTATATGGATGGATCTTGACATATAAAGTATTTTGTTTTTCATTTTATAAATACTTGTTCCTTACACGTTCTCTTCTTCACATACATTTTCATTTTAAATAATACACGTTTCGTTTATGTGCTTGACTATATTTAGTTGATAACTGAATATCCGGTTGAGCTTACGATCAACGTTGTGTGGAATTTGTTCACATGTACATTATTTAGGAGTAACACTTGTTGGCACGATTTTTTGGATCAACAGGTTGGTGCCATTTGTGGGAAATCCAGACAGTTAACCACAAAGATCTCGTGAAGAAAGGCCGGTGATATTAGTCCAAAAGAACCCTGTGCCTTTGAACAAAAGGAGGTATCCTTGAAGAAGGGATTACCGAAAGGGAAACAGCTTGTTGGGGACGCTATTTCTACCCCTTGAAAGAAAGGGAGCATTGGTTACTGTAAAAGGATATTCTGGGAGTAATATGAGTACTAGTGAAGAAGAATCTGCACCTCGAAGGACTAAGGAACACCCCTGAAGAAGGAAAACCCTCGCATACTGTCCCAACATCTCACCATAGATTCCACCCACCAAGTAGACGATCTGGGTCACGAGATAGATCACGAGGAGGTTTTGGACTGACTGCTAGGCTCACCAGAGAGGTGGCCATTAAAAATATAAGGAATGTAACCCAGCAAAATCTTGCCATGCAAGAATTACTAAGGAATATGTAGAACCAAGCAGGATACCTGGTTCCTCCATATGACCGTCGGGAGAATGCATCATTTTGAGACAATTATTATAACGGTGAGGACAAGACTTAGAACCAAATGGCAGGATACCAATAATATTCGGAAGAAGACCCCTAAGAGAGAGAAGTGGGGGTAGACACATAAATAAATTATGCTACTGATCAGTATCATGAGTTCTTATTTAGTTTCCTGCCTGAATATGATCTAGAGGATGCACCAAGGAGGTTAGTTAGAGATTTTGATAGGTTAAGTCAGGGTAGCCTAGGAATAGACAAGCTCGACGCCCTCATCCGCCCAGAAATAGACAGCACGAGGAACCTAGACTCGGAGTGCAAGACGAACTTGCTCATAGTAACGTCAACCCCCCGACTAGAAATAGGTGAGAAAGGAAAGATGAGCAAGCAAGAAATCGAGTAGGACGGTCTAAACAACCTTAGGAAGCCCCAGTTGGGAAATGAGGTGTTCTGATGAACCGTAGAGGTCTTGTGATCTCAATGACGATGACGACAATCTGTCGTTTTTGTAGGAAATTAGAAATGCCCCAGTCTTAAAACCACTTCACGCTGCCCAAAATACCTAAGTATGATGGAAGAGGAGATCCTGCAAAACACCTTAATGGCTTCAAAACCCATATGGGCTTAAGAAATGCTATGCTTGCCATGAAGTGCAGAGCTTTCTATCTAACCCTCAGTAGGGCAGCAGAAGTTTGGTATACCAGACTCCAGGCAGTAAGCATCGAAGTTTGCCTGATTTTAAGAAGGCTTTTCTCAAGCGCTTCGTTACTAGCAAAGAGGGTGAATGGCCTATACAACGCCTACAAGACATGAGGCAACAACTTGGGGAGTCGTTGAAAAGCTTTTTGACCTACTTCATAGACAAAATGACCTATTGCATGCAAGTCATGGACATGGAAGCATTAACTGCCCTGAAGGAAGGCTTGGACATGAATTCACTCTTTTGGAGAGATGTACAAAATAAAGACCCTACCAGTTACGATGCCCTATTGGAAATGATTAGACGAGAGATCATCTATGAAGAATTGAGGGATCATCAAAATAGGGCAAATTGAGGTCTCCCACCTTCCCAAATGCAAAGAGGAAGAGGCCTTATATCTCACTTGATAGACCAACAGGTCGGACAGTGAACTTCTCTCAATCCTAGGCAAGCATTAGCCACAACAACGCTTAATGCAGTTCCAACTTCGACGTACGAAAAAATAAATCCCAATGTCGAGGTGTATCAGGGAAGACCACCTCAACAACTAGCTCGCGAAAGAAGAGGAAGAGGACAAGGTACACACCTAGAGGGATGAAGTGCCTCCTTATTGCATATACTACCATTCCTATAGTCACAACACTGCTGGATGATAGGACATAACGAAACACCCAAACAACTAGAGGAGAAATGATCGTTCCCAAAGGAAAGAGACCCCTCAATAAGGTCGGCAACAAAGGAATGAAGGATACCACTATCAAAAGGGATGACTCACGCAGGCGTAGGGAAGATTGTGCAAGGCCTAAAGAAGGTCGAAGACATCGGAAAATCCCTCATCTAATACTGGGTGTGAGCCCATCCGAGAAATTGATACAATATTTTGAGGTCCATACGTGGGGGCGAGACTAGAAATGCCCAAAGAAACTATGCAAGGAAAGCCAAGGATCCCCCAATGGTGAGCTTCATAGTTAGCAGTGGCCAAGCTTCCAATCACAGGGGAGTTCAACCCATTACATTCACCCAGGATGATACTGTAGGGGTACATTATCCTCACTGTGATACTCTGGTTGTAAGAGCAGTGGTGACTAGAAATGGTCTTAAAAGAATGCTGGTAGACAATGTGAGTTCAATCAACATCATATATGGAGCTGCTTTTTTTAACAAGATGGAGGTTGACCATGAGCTAACACCCCAGCCACCTCATCCCTACATGAATTCACGGGCAACAGCAGCATTCCATGAGGTAAAATCACTTTAGCAACGGAGATAGGGGTAGCACCTTTGACGGCCTACCACTTCATGGAATTCCTAGTTGTTGATCATCGCTTGCTTACCATGGGGCACTTGGGAGGCCCGCTCTGAAAAAATTATGGCCAGCTACTTTTATCCATCACCTATGTATGAAGTTCCCAATAGAGAACTGTATCGCCACGGTCAGGGGTGACCAAAGAAGTGCTAGAGAATGTTATTCAAATTCCATATTGAAGGTTGAACCAAGGAGTGTGAATGTTATATTAATGGACATTGATGAGGTCGATGACCCTAAACAAGGGTACAACATCAAAATAGTAGATGCCTCTGAAGAAGAGGCTGTAATGGAAATACAGTCAAACCCTGAAGAAGGAAGGGCAGCTGAAAAAGCTGCTATTTTTAACGAGCTAGACCCTTGCATAGTCGATTGCGAGCCTCAGACAGGTTAAAGAGCTATAAAGCTTTATAATGGATCCTCAAGATCCAACCAAGTCCTTACAGATCGACAAGAACTTGCCCTCAATGCTAAAGAGAAACTGAAAGGCTTCTTGCGTAGCAACTTAGACATTTTTGCTTAGAAAAATGAAGAGATTGTGGGAATTGATCCGAAGGTTAGTTGTTACTATTTGAAAATCGATCGTACGCCAATCCTCACAGGCAAAAGGGGAGAGGCCTAAATCTCAAGAGATATGAGGCCTTGAAAGATGTGGTACTGAAACTAATTGCTAATCGCTTTATTTGGGAATCAACCTATCTGAAGTGGGTGTCAAATCCGGTGCTAATAAAAAAGCATAATGGAAAATGGAGAGTGTGTAGAGATTTTACCAATCTAAATTGAGCTTGTCCCAAGGATAGCTTCCCACTTTCTCGGATAGACCAAGTGGTTGATTCCACGGTAGGCATGAATTTTTGAGCTCATGGACGCATATTCGGGCTATAATCAAATTACAATGCATCATGCAGATGAAGAACATACATCTTTCATTACCGACTGAGGCTAATATTGCTACAAAATGATGCCCTTCGGGATGAAAAATGTCGGGGTCACCTACCAAAGATTGGTCAATAAGATG